TCGGTCATAACCAAGGGTCGTGTTTAAAAAATATTGCTTGTCCTAAATGTTCTCGACCACATCAAATTAAAGATTGTCCCATTGATTCTGAAATAAAATGTATTAACTGTATTAACGCTAAAACTTCTGATGTTAAACATTTTGCTTGGGATCACTCAAAGTGCCCTGTTTATCAGAAAAAACTTGAATATTATAAGAACTCTTTAATGTCATCGTAGCAATCATCAAGCATTTCTGATACTAGCCAACATAAACTTAGTGTATTTTACCAAAATGTTAGAGGATTAAACACCAAACTTGCAAAACTATTTAACAATTCCGTCGAATGTAACCACGACCTATTAGCACTGTCAGAAACTTGGTTGAGTTCTTCTGTGTACGACTCTGAATTATTTTTTAAAAATTATGTAGTATTTCGTTCTGACAGAAATTTTAATATTACCAATACTACTAAAGGGGGAGGTGTTTTAATTGCTTTAAAAAAAGAATACAATGCATTAAGACTAGATCTTTCTGAACTGACTACTTCTACTCCTTCTATTGACGTACTTGGTTTAAAAATTTCAGTCTCGAATAGCAATGTGTATGTTATATTACTTTATATTCCTCCCTCCACTAGTAATGATATATACGATGTCTTTTATGATATTTTATGTAATTACGAATGGTGCAACAATGATGAAGAACTGTTAATATTAGGGGATTTTAATATACCACATTATCATTCTAGTCGTAATGACATTACTTTGCAAAATGCTAGTATAGTTGCACTTGATAATTTTACCGAATTATTAGCTTTAAGACAATATAATAATACTCTTAATTTTAATAACCGTTTACTCGATTTAATCTTTAGTAGATCTGACATCGCTGTAAATCGTTCACTTGATCCATTAGTTGACGAAGATATTTTACATCCTTCATTAGAATTTCAACTATCTCTTTCTCAAATAAATACCAGTTTTGCTATGTCTAGTAAAGTATCTTACAATTTCAAAAAGGCAAATCTCCCTCAACTATACCAGACTATCTGTAGAATTAATTGGAGTAGTTTGAATGCATGCGCAACTTCTGAGGAGACTTGTGATTTATTTTATTCTATCTTAAATTCCGCAATTGCCGCTAATGTTCCAAAAACTGTACCAAGGTGCAATTCAAAATACCCTCCTTGGTTTAATAGAAGTATAATTTCGGATTTGAGGAAAAAATCATCTCTTTATCGTTTGTATAGAAGGACACTAGAGGCTGAAATTTATACTGAGTTTAGTATTCTTAGGTCCAAAATTAAACGCGATATTTCAATAAATTACAGGAATTATTTGACAAATATTGAGAATAGAATATCTTCTAACCCCAATTATTTTTGGCAGTATATAAATTCAAGGAAAAACTGCAGTAGTATTCCAAATGATATGACTTTTGATAATAATCCTTTAAATAATTCACAAGACATTGTCAATGCATTTGCTACATATTTTCAGTCATCGTACACTAATTCGTCTAAAATTGATATTTCTAAACCAGATAATGTTGTTAATATTAACAGTTGTAACATTCCGCTACTTACAGAAGAGGATGTCATGAAAGGTCTTAAAAGATTGAAACCTAAAAATACTAGAGGCCCAGATGATATTCCGGCATTTTTAATAAGAGATTGTGCAAATATTTTAACCAAACCTTTAACCATGGTCTTTAATATGTCCTTACGAGAAGGCAATTTTCCAAGTAATTGGAAGATATCTAAAATATGTCCAATCTTTAAGAAAGGATCCAAATCTATCATAGAAAACTACAGACCTATATCCATCCTTAGCAATTTTGGAAAAGTTTTCGAAAATGTCATTTATGAAATACTTTTCGCTCATGTAAAATCGATTATATCTACGGCACAGCACGGCTTTTTTCCAGGCAGATCCACAGAGACCAATCTGATATGCTTTACACAATATGTTGCGCAAAACCTTGATAGGGGTGGCCAGGTTGAAACTATATATACTGACTTTTCCAAGGCCTTTGATCGCCTCGATCATAGTATACTTTTGAACAAGCTTTCCATTGTTGGACTCACTACGTCTTTTCTGCGTTTCTTTGAATCATATTTAAGTAATCGTAAATTAAAAGTTGAATACCATGGTTTTCAGTCAATTTGTATAAAAGCTTCTTCCGGTGTCCCTCAAGGTTCAGTTCTAGGACCACTTTTATTTTCCATTTTTGTAAATGACATTACTGAAAACCTATCATGTAATACTCTACTCTATGCCGATGATTTCAAATTGTTTAAATCAATCTCTAGTATTGATGACTGTTTGATTATGCAGGAGAACCTAAATAAATTGAACCTTTGGTGTAATTCTAACAACTTACCGCTAAACATATCTAAGTGCAATTCTATCAGCTTCACTCGCAAACTAAATCCGATTGAGTATAATTTCACTGTCAACAATATTACCATTAATAAATGTCTTTCTTTTAGAGATCTTGGTGTTCTTTTCGACGCTAAGTTAAATTTTATTGAACATGTCAATACTATTCAAAAAGTAGCATACAGAAATTTGGGTTTTGTCATTCGAAATGGACGCCAGTTCTCTGAGCCTAACACTTTAAAAACTATTTTTAACGCTTTTGTACGTAGTAAGCTAGAATATGCGTCCATTGTTTGGAGTCCTGGATATGAAGTATATAGCCAAGCATTAGAAAAAATTCAGCGAAAATTTGTCAAATATTTGTGGTGCAAGCTAGATGGCGTCTACCCTACTCGCAATATTCCGCAAACCATCTTGCTGAATAGATTTGATATCCTTGAATTACGTACTCGTAGGAAATGTTATTCTATCTGCATTCTTTACAAATTATTAAATTTTAAAATTGACTGTCCCGAACTACTTCGTCAACTAATGTTTAATGTTCCTAGTATCAGAACTCGCTCCCCTCTTTATTTATATTTTCAAACACCCAGGACAAATATTTTAAAATTTTCTCCAATGTATTTTATGTATCAAAATTTTTGTGAACTTCAAAATGATGTTGATTTATTTTCTATTTCAATTAAAGAAATAAAACGCTTAATTGTGGACTGAGTTAATTATCATAAGACGACGTAATTTTTTCTCCTAACGGAGTTTTTTTTTGCGTTTTCTTATGATGGTTAAAAACGTTTATTAAACTATTTTTTGTTTACATATTTTTATGCTATTATTAGTATTTAATATTTTGTTATCATTTTTATGATGTAAATTATACTGTAATTGTAATTATTTTTGTGCCCATCCTGTAATTGGTTTTATACTGTTGGATGGTGTAACCCAAATAAATAAATAAATAAATAAATAAATTTCCAAATCGCTGGATAGGGAGGCGAGGATCAATAGAATGGCCAGCAAGATCACCTGATCTTACCCCATTAGACTTTTTTTATGGGGCTATGTGAAAAATATTGTTTACAAAACTAAACCACGTGATTTAGATGACTTAAGAGAACGAATAATGCTTGCGATTAGATCGGTCAAGCCTGATATGTTAATCAACGTTAGAAGACATTTTTATTCAAGATTAGGATGTTGCCAAGACGTTCGCGGTGAGCATTTTGAACATCTACTTCATTGACATTCATATTTTTTACGGTATGAACAATTAAATATTACATATTGAGTGTATTGTAACAAATTCTGGTTATCAGTTATTTTATTTTTTTATGTTAATTTTTGCAATAAATTTAAAGACAACATTTTTGGATAGAGAATGAAGAGACCTTTCAAACGATATATCACAAGCCTATATATACATTTTCACTTTAAAGAATGTCAATTTATAGTTTAAATTTGACGTGTTTCGGGATTTTCTATAAATATGTACAGTAATCGAAATAATGAATTTATTCCATTTGGCTTTTCCACACTGTATACATATATTATACATAAATGTTTGTAACGCTCAATCAGCGAACAAATTAAATGAGCCACGTATTATTAACGGGAATGAATGTCGAAACGTTGGTTTATGGCCTATATATGTCGTTGATGCAGTTAGGAAGGATGATAAAGAATGGGGTGTATTTTATAGAATAAGAAATGCATCCAAATTTTAGTATGACATTCAAATAACCCCATAGGTATTTGCATAATGATATAGTTGTTGAGGTTAGGCTCACCGATGCGTAAAAGTAAAATCATTCCGTTTGTGAAACTTCCCCCCACGTTATCGAAGGAGATGTATCTGATATCTACGAAGCTGGTTTATTATTAGGATGGGGTCTAATTTGTGTCAAAAAATTTATCAAATTTCCCGAACATTTAATGTGCGCAGACTTGACAATAAAATCACATGCGAAGTGTACAAAGTTTTCTATATATTTAGCTACAAGACCGATTACTGAAATTTGTACAATTGAGAGCACAAAAAGTTTTTGTTTTGGCGACTCTGGAGGTCCACTTGTGCGGTGACTTTCAATGTGGTATAGTGTCTTTTACCTTTCAAGGGTGTACACCCGGAAATCCGAATTTTTATACAAGAGTGGACAAATATTTACATTTCATTAAATGGACTATGGAAAATAGTGCGTCACGCTTATTACCTTTATTTTTTAAATTCCTATATATATTTGCTACAATTTATACCTACCTATCTTATTGTAATCCAATCCAATCCAATCCAAAAAGAGAAATTAAAAAAACAATAGTTTCTTAATTTGTAAGGTATTACAAGTGGTTGAACACAAAGGAAACGACTTGTCTTAACTGCAAGGCCACCCAGACAAAAAGGTAAAATGCCTCCTTTTTATAAAACAAATTAAATGAGAAGAACCTAAAACCTTTCCTCGCTTAGTAATAAAATAAAACCTGATTAAAACAATTGTTATTAAAAATGTTGAAGTTTTGATTTGCCAAAAATACAAACTTTTGTTATACGATTTTGGAACTAAACTGAAATTGTGGTTGTAGAAAAAAAAAGTCACAAATCAAATATATAATTTTAAAAAGATAGTAAAACAAATTATAGAACTACTTAAAATAAAAACTTGTGTTTTGTTATTCAATATTGTAAATTATAATTACGAACAAATATATTAAAAAATTTAAAAATATTATCTGAGACGCATTATTTTCCATGGTCCATTTAATGAAATCTAAAAACTTATCCACTCTTGTATAAAATGCTGGACGTCCGGATGTGCAATTAGGATTACCGTAGGATGCTATGCCACACTGAAAATCACCGCACATCAGTGGGCCTCCAGAATCCCCCATACACATGCCTTTCACGTAACTGGTCTCTGTACATATTTGTGTTTTTGGTATATCGAAAGGTTTTATGCAATCTGAGTGTGGGAGTATTCTTAAATCTACACACATCAATTTCTCGGCAATTGTATATTTTGTTTGATTTGTTAAACCCCATCCCATCAATAAACCAATATTACAGATATCCGATACATCTCCTTTGATAACGGAAGGAAGTTTTACATACTGAATAGTTTTAGTTTTCGGCATCGGAGAATCTAACCTCGCCAACGCTATATCATTGTATACATCATATTTATCATATTCATATTCTGAATGAATGTAAAACTTTCGTATTCGATGAAGTGGACATGATTCGTCCAAGTCGTATTTAGAATAATCGTTATAATGTTTGTCTCTTGTAACGGCATCGGTGACATATAAAGGCCATTTATCCAAACAATGAGCTGCAGTTAAAACCCAGTTTTGATTAAGCAAACTGCCTCCACAATTATGTTGTCGAATATATACAATGACTACCATGAATTTCGTATTAATTTTAGGATATTTTCGACATTCGTATCCACCAATTATACGTGGCTCAAGTAATTCGTTCGCTGCTTGAGAAATATCTAAATTATAATATATAATATACAGAATCAGTGTTTTGATACAGAAGATGTGTACATAATCATTATACATTTTTAGTTGATTCAGTTATGACAGTTTACGTCGTTCAAAATCTATATCTAGGGCTTACCATGATGATTCATATCTGTACCTCAGAACCAGAGTATGTTAAGTCCAAAAACTTTATTTTTCAGTAGAACTGTTTAATTAATTTCGTATTAGACTTTTTCAAATTATGAAACACTGATTTTACTAAATATTGTAACTATTTCATAATTAAATAAGTTTTAGGCATAAGAATAAATGGCATAATGGCAAATTTTGGTTTTGTTTTTTGTTTTTGATTTAAGTGACTTAACATAGTTTTGTATAAACAAAAAATATTTTTTTTGGATTTAACACGCATGTTAAGTACAAAGGTATGGACTTGACATATTTACAGTGGACATAACATTTAGATAAATCGGAAGGCAAAAATACTACCTACTTATTTATTATATAATTTAATGCTTAAGTGATTACAGTTTGGTCTTTTAATAAAAAAAAAATTATTTTTTATCCATCATCTTCGTTATTTCCATATTCCAAATTTTTGTAATAGTCATGGAATCTTTTTGGTACCCATTTTAGAAGTTTTTGTAAATGGCTGTACTTTTTAGCTGAAATTTTTTTAGGACCCTCCCTAATTGGTGAAATCACTAAAGGAGCATAGTCATTTGGTTTGTTTCTTCTGTGAAAGTTAACTTCTGAAAAATCCTTACTATAATCGGTTTTGTAGTAGATGATTCCAGGGTTATTTCTTCTTACTTGCAAGTGAACTGCATGAGATATCAGAAAATCGTTGCCTGCGCTGTCTTTTTTCTTGTTGATATATAGTGCAGTTGATCCCTCGAATAAATGTTTAAATTCTTTAAAATCAGAGTATTCCATATTGACTACGGTGAATTGTTTTTTTGTTCCACACAATCGGACCATCTGCTGCCAATCTCAAGGGGTTATGATTTGAAATTGTGAAAGTTTCTTTCTTTCACGCTCTATCGTGGAGTGAACGGCATCAGCCTCCAAGTGTGTATGTCCTCTGGCTAGAAACTTGTGATTAACAGCAGTAATATTTGGCTTAATACGCAGGATCAAAAAATAACACATAATCATTAAAATATTTCTATTTTGACTCGGACAGTTATCCGACCAAATTGTTATTTCCTTGACTTCGTCTGAAACGTTCTGTTCAACCCATTTTATTAGACAAGATGCAATTTCATTTCCTCCCCGTCCGGCTACGCTTTCATCCCACATCATGCAGAAACTTTTTTCACAAGTTGCATCTTGGATAGTTAAGTTATATGTCCATAGCTTTAGAGAGTAAAAGCTCTGTGAATTATGTAAATCCGGTGTCGGTAGACATTTTTGAAGGTCAATCATTATGACTTTTTCTTGTAAGTTATTTCTCGACTTTCTTTTATCTTCCGATTTCAGTTTGTATCTGTTAGTCGTATCTGCAAGATGCTGATCGTATTCAGTTTGTAGCTTCTTTCGAGAATCAAGTGATTCTGACTCACGAATCTGAAGCTGAAGTTGATCACATAAGTCACAGGTGTCGTTGTCTGGGCTCTTGAATGAATAGTTATATTCATAGTTGAAAATCTCCGAGTACAGCCACTCCTTTGCAATACTTTCGGATCCAAAACCATTTTCTTTACATTCTTCTAAGTAAAGTCTATACATCCTACTTATATTTAAATGATTTCCCAGGTACTTCTTCTTGGTTCTTTCCCGAGAGTAATGGGATTCGTACGTTGGAAATTTTGAAATGTGGTTTCGAACATTTTGTCGAACTTCTTCTGAGATTTTGTTTGCAGGTTGGTGCCTTCCTCTTTTATCAGGCGTTACAATACCTCCTTCCTTTTTCTTTTTAACTGCAGTGTCTACTGTTTGCTGGGAGATGCTTAGGGTATTTAAAAAAAACTTCTTACAAACTGTTTCTTGTTTTCCTTCTGTTTCGAAGCTATAACAATTGGTAAAGATTCTTTTTCCTCTTCTTTCACCAGTCTTTTCTCTGCGTCTTTTTATTGGTACCTGTGTAACTATAGATGCTATGTACTGTCTTCTCATGTCTACTGTTTTTGATGGACTCCAAAAATTGGAATGTATAGTCTGCCGGCGTTCTTCAGGAAATCTATTTTTACATGAGAGTTTGCAATTATCGCCGCAAGATTCTTTTAGGAACTTTGGGTTCATAACACGACTTCCGCTATCGGTTTTGTATCCCAATCCTGAGTACCGTTTCCTTTTCGTAACATTCTTCTTCCAATTCATTGGGTTTGCTTTCCTTTTGCGAGTTAGGTTCTTCTTTGCCTCTTCGTTTTGGTCCTCGTCAGATTCATTTTCATCGGAATAGTTGGGGTCCGCCACATCATCATCGTCGTCAAAATCTACAAATTCTCTTTCAGGACTTCTATGTAGCTCTTCGTCATATTCAGGAGTGACGTGCAAAACTTCTTGGGAAATATTTGGTTCTTCGTCTTCATTGGGACTTTCTATGAGATCAGCATTTTGTACTACTTTTTCTTGTATATTTTTTACTGATTCTTTGGGAGTATCTTCTATTACGTTTTGTTTAACGCCTGTTTGGAGCACAAGATGTGACTGTTGTAGCATTTGATTACATAAAAAACCCAAAGACGGAATAACACATGTCATGGGAGTTTGGCTTTCATCTCTATTATTTTCTGAAACAAAAAAAAAACATAAAATTTTTGCTGTAAGCCGAAAAATAAAAACCAATCAATCAAGTTAAGTCACTATTATTATGAAATAATGCTAGGCTAAACTATGTTAAGTCCGTTACTCCGACAAAAAATAATTTTATGCTTCACTAACTAGTAAGAACTTGTTGGATATAAAGGTAATTATTGAGAAAGCAACCAAATCACTACAATTTAACCGAAAACCACAGCATGCAACAAATATTTTGCAAGTACTTACCTGTTTTTTCTGTGGTACTGGCATCTGCGATTTGAACATTTTTAATATTTTGAACATTTTGTTTCTTTTCTATGTAGTTTTTTACTATCTTACTTGTCCTAGAGGACCACGGTACATTTTTATTAAGAGACATATTAAAAAATGTGCTGAACAAAAAACGCGAGAGGTTAGGTATGTTAACAGGTGGAGTTGACATTACAAACTGAACGTGAATCCAGAGGCAGACAAGGTTAGTCCGACTTAACATTGTTTGGCTTAGGGTGACTTGTGGACTTGACGTATTTTAAAATCAGGTATTTTCGTTATTTTAAAAGATGCGGAACAGTGGAAAATACCAAAAAATGCGCCATACAATTTTGAGTGACTTAACATATTTAGCTAAAATTTGGTAAATTTGGACTTAACATAGTCTGGCTCTGGGGTACAGATATACTTTCCTTATATCTGTATACAGATAGGAAAGTAAAAAAGTTAAGCATTCTAAAAAAAATTCTAAGTACACTCCTTATACTTACTTATGAAAACTTAAATTAGATATTTTTTACGCTCTTTCACTGAAGAGTTTTCACAATTAATTTTGGCACACTTAGTCATGATTTTTATACAAATTAATAAAAAAAAAAACACTTATTAAGATAGAAATAACGTCGAAATATTTAAATTTGAACAAAGTTCTGACAGCTCTTTGACAACTATGACATGACCACTAAGAGAGGGGGAAGGGGTGTCGTTTTTTTTTGGCATGTCATCTCCATAGTATTCAACCTTATTGTTCCTATCTTTATCCTAATCTCTGCATAATAGGTTATTCTGTGCCCACGGTTCGTAGACAACACGGTGACCTCTTGTCCGTTGCTAAGGAAGGTTGTGATGTCACGGAATGAAAAATCAAGCAGACAAAAAATTTTCTGCTGTGGTTCGTACATTAGTTTTTTAAAAAAATCTGATATTTTATTAATATTTAGTGGTGTTAATATTTTTATTTTTGGACTATATACCTGTGTTGGAGTTTTTAAAAACTCGGTAATTTGATTTTTTGAAATGCAAGCTACAAAACGACATGTAATGATTTTTATCAAATTTCAAATTACTTTTTATTTGAATTATAAAGAGAAATATTATTGTGTGAATGGTTAATTTTAAACATTTTGGATTAAGGTTCAGCCTCCGAGCTGAATTTGGATCACACTTTGTTTATATCCCGAAATATTTTGAAATTTTGGCAAGCCTGGAACGAGCAAACAATTTTTACAATTCGAATTTGCAAGTGACTACTTTTAAAAAATCTATACTCCCTCCGTTTACCCTCATTTACACCCTTTACTGTAAATAGCCAAAACCCTGAATTACATCATTATTTAATGATGAGTAGCTACCAATTCCAGTTTTCAAGTTTTATGTACCCATTTTCGTTTGATTGATTTTCATCTTCCTCGTCTAGGAGCTATGGCAATAATTCATAATTATTCATCATCAGTAAAACAAGTCATCTTGCACGGACTTTTCTGAATGCACAGGGCCTACTACGGGTGTATGTGAATTGGTGTCACTGATTGATACTGATTAGCACCGAATCTGAACTGACACGGCACTGATGTGTGTAGATATACCTTTAAGTGGATTTTATTCGCCACTTAATCAAATGGCATCATCGATTATGGGGATTTTCAAATTATTCTACAAAATAATAATTGCCGTTTCCTTCCCCGGTTAAGCTCAGTTAGCTTTTGGAGTTAAAATTTGCACGTATGGTGGTGAAACTATAGGAGAAAAGTAATATTATTATCATAAAGAATATACAAGCTATTATTTATCTGTATGCATATTTTGAGTTAAATTAATATTTTAAAATCCTTTCTCAGGACAAATTAAAAAAATGAATTCTTCAATTAAAAAAGTCCAATTTTTATTAAAATTTGGACACATAAAAGAAAGCAAAAGGAATTTAAAAATTATTGAATCGTTCTCATTGAAAAATCGAATTAAATACTTGATTAAATAAAAGGCTTTTTTGATTTCATTAATAAATATATTACAAAACTAATATATATGGCTTTATATACACGTATTGAAAGTAATAAACAATATATAATCTATAAAAAAGACTAAATAACAAATACCACTGAAATATCAAACAAAACATTATCACACAATTTCCATTTATTATTTATTATACAAAACAACGAGAGAGTCTCATTATATCAATATTAAATTGGTTTATTTTAATAGAACTAAAAAAAGTTCATCCTGATTGTGGTATTTGCAAAAAAATGGTTTCTCACTGGTAAGGTAACAATATAAAAAAAGTATAACCTAAAAAAAGTAAAAAAGACTTAAAAATAAATAGTAAATATACTTTTTTTTTAATATATAATAATAAAACGTGTAGCTGTCCACTTAATAGTAAGTGATATTTATACTAAAGAAAACCAAATATTGGTCAATATAGGTGAGCAAAAATATGTACATCGAACGGGGGTGATTCGGAAATTAATTCTACATAACTATCAATATACAAACAATTTCGACTCTTCTCAGGTATTATTATTTATTCACATTGATAAAATTTAATAATAGTAATACATTTAGAAAAAAATGTCTAAAACGAAAAGTTTTCGGTATTTTGGTCCAAGGATCATCAGTTTCAAAAATATTTACCAACATGGTCAAAAAAAAAATCATTTAGTTATTTCTTATGGGAAAACAATATGATCAAGATAAAAAGATGATCGATTCGGTTCAACAGTATTGCGTTTCAATTAAAATATCCTGTATTAATTAGAACTGTCCATGGCTCAAAATAAAAGATTGCCCAACTCATTCTCCAAACTTTTTCAAACTTCATATGTTACTGCAAAAGAAAGACAGCAATTCCTGAAGAAGTCTGTTCATAAACATATCCATTTTTTCCAGATTTAATTTCCGAAAACCCCTACCCATAACAAAAAAAGTGGAAAAACAACTATACCGCTCGATAACTGTTAATTTCCATATCACAATAATAATTTTTCTGCAAAGTTTCAGTACGTCTTTCAGATGCTTTTGCAGTCGGCAGATCAACCAGGTCTCTTAGAGACCATAGATTCAATCAAATCAATCACAATTCTGAGTAAGTAGGTACCAAATTCTTCTTCCTATTCTTCTGCATCCTTCAGCTCGTCAATGCCCTAAAACCGATCAATGATTTAGTGGAACCTCCTCTCTGTTGGGATGTCTGGGTATCTGTACATGTCGCTGTTTGCGGAATATCTTCTTCGACCACATCTTGTAGAAGACGATTAAGAAGACGATGGACGATAACGTGATGCAGATGATTCCGACCGATAAACAGATGACGTTGAAGTTGATTAGCAGTTTAATCATGAACGTCATGTGTTCCGGTATGTCAACTTTTTGTTCGAAGTAGAGAACGGGCATGAAGACTGTCGGGACGTCTTCGAAAATACTGAAAAGAATAATAATAATTTAATAATAATGTGCTATAGATGAGCTCGTTTTCTATATATTTATGTAAATGATTAAATATTATAAGCGTGAACATAAAATAAAAAGTTTACCTTATCCCTTGTACAGGTGCCAAGCGAAGATTGAGTTGAAGTCTTGCAGCTACGCTCAAAGGAATTCCAGTGTTCTGTAAACATTAAATAAATTATGAAATAATTCGAACTTTATTGAATTATATAGCGTATTTCATTAAGAATAGGACACAATAACTGATTAAAAATAAGGCGATTGTATGAAAGAAAATTAGGTAAAATGTTAAAGTTAAAGTTGCTTAAGTATCGTGGATAATCCTGCTGTTTCATCTAAGAAACAGGAGAATAGACAAAAAACAGGAGAAATAAGGCTTTTTTTTATTTTTGAATGTGAAAATCTGGTTTTGCTGTAACCATATAAATACAAATTGAAAATAAAGACTCAATTTATAAAATATATTTAAAATTGTCACAAATGAAAATCTTAACAATCTTATGTAAATTAATATGGACAATCATTAAAGACCCATAAAAAACAAATTAATCACTAGATATAGTAACTTTTGAAAATCTTTTTTCATAAGTTGGTGACATTGTCTTTCTAACTAAATTTTTATAATGGCTACAGTTTGTCACTAAATTTATTAACATTTCAAAATCTATTATTTTTTGGCATGGAGGTGTAGGGATACGCTGACACGTGGTCCAAGACGCATTATTGCTTTCACAAATCCTTCAAACAGCTAATCGTGGTTTCAATCAACGTTTTTTCTATTTTTATGTCGTTTGTAAACTAGAAACTCGCAAGAACAGGCCCATACAAAGTAGTCAAAGAGTCAAAACTGAACAACAGGACCGCTTTGTGTGCTAATTTACTTAACGAAATTCCAGTGTTTCTAATCTAGAGCAGCAACAATAACTTCTGGAAGCTACAGGTGTGAACGGTTCAATTGAAACTCTAAGAAAAAGAATTCGTGCATGAGGTTTGTACAGTAGGAAAGAGTTACAGGTCCCACCGTTATCTAGGCAAAATAAAATTGACCGGCTAAATTGGTGCCTAAAACACCAAAACTGGACAATTGAGAATTGGCAAAATGTTCTTTTTTTGAATAAGACCAGAATTGGCCTAAGATCAGATGACCATCGAATTTGGGTTTTCAGAGCTTCAGCAAGATGAGCGAGACTCCACGCTGCCAGATATGTCCCAAGATATCAAATAGGGACTGTAATGTTTTGGGCAGGAATTATGATGGAAGCAAAAACTCCATTGTTACCACTTCAACAAACTTTAACCGGTCCGAGATGTGCTAGAACCAATCGTAAGGCTTTGGAGACCTGCAATTGGGGATAATTTTGTGTTTATGTACAATAATGTACCTCCCCATACCAACAAAGTGGCTACAGAATATCTTGAAATAGAAGGCGTCACAATTTAAACTGGCTTGCATGTTCACCAGACCTAAATCCTATCGAATACTTGTAGAAACAGCTCAAAAGAAGGATTAGAGCTCGTCGAAACAATGCAGGAAATGTCGCTCAGCTTATTGATGCAGCATTAGCAGAATGGGAAAACATACCCCAAGACAATGTTGACAATTTAATAAGAAGCATGCCAAGGCGAATAAAAGCTTGCATAAGGGTTAGAAGTGATAACACGTATTGTTAAAATTACCTTTCTTTCTGTTTTTGCTTTTCGGCTATTAAAAATTTAAATCTCATTTCGTTTGAGAAACCAAAAAAATACCATTGTGTTTATTTTGTCAACTAATTAATTATTTTTATTGCTATGTGGTTTATTTGTCATTAAAAGTCTTTGGTAAAGACCGAGTTTTATTCATAAACAAAAAATGTTCATACATCTCAAAAATTATGAAAAATAATAGATGATTTCATATAAGTTTGGTTGTGTGTATATTAAATGAAACTTCTATACTTTATTACTCTATAAAATACTATCTTCCACTTGTACTTATTTTATCAATAAGTGAAATTCTCGGTGGAATTACTAAAAATTAGTTGTTATGACCTTAATCATCACACTTTATAACAATTAATAAATATTGCTTACATTTTCTAAAAAATATGAAAATTTGGTTTTCATTCTGAAAAGTCCGTATCTGGCGGATCGGCCATATTGGGTTTGAGAAAGATACTTATAGCGTCTCCCTACCTTGTAACTCTTATGTTTTTTGGGTATGACGTCAACTGTCATATTTCACTGTCACATTTGTAGATAGGTTTTTTTGAGCGTAGCAACGCAAAATTTATCAATTGTAATTTTCATACTTACTGGTTCAAATATCATATAAAACGAGTGCATATTTTCTTCGGGACTCAATCCATCGACTCCGTCCAGATAATAAGGATCAGCCTTGTAGAAATGCGGCAAAGATACGAAGGCCGGCGATCCGTGTCTGCAGTTAGAAACGTTCAAAGCGCCCGATGGCATGCAATCCCCGTCGCAGAAACATTTGTTTTCCGGTATTTTCGTACCTAAAGAAAATTAAACATTATTTAATGTATTACGGCCAAACATTGGCGTTTTTGATGTAATTTTGAATAAGGAAAATAGGAAAAAGGAGGATACCAAGGGGGAGAAGGAAATGAAAGAAAATAGAATCGAACTTACCGTTATCCAAAAATTTCTGACCAGCCACGTATTTGTACCCGACGATGTTATTAACTAAGACTTCCTCCTCGAATTCAAGTTCCATGTATCGGCACAAATCCGACGTGAACATTTTGATGACGGAATCGTGGGTGAGCTTCCTAGGGAAAAAGTCTCCAGCCGATGCGTTTTGCACGTTACCGCATTTGTCAGGATAAAATCCCGTGTGTTCGCTGAACTTCCATCGCTCGAGTACGCCCAAATTGCCGCGGGCCCCTGTGTCGATGTTGAAGATGCCGTCGAATTCCGAAGAACCGTTTCTCTGCAAAAATTAATGAACTATAATACTAGCGGCACACAAAACGATTTTGACAAAAATCCCCATAATTTCGATTAAATTTGATTAGTTAAAATTAACCTTGTACCATTTGAAATTAGTGGCATAGTCAAGATATCCTATTCAAAATGTAACTTACCCCATAGAACCATCCGAATTTATCCATGGCGGCTCCTTTGGGTAAAAACGACATTTTGGCGGCCATCGTTAGGAGCGGATCTTCGTATCCGTCAAAAAGGAGCTCACCTACTGAGTGAGTTGAATAAATTGTGTCTGCGATTGCTCGTAGAGATACAGAAAAGCCTCTCTTGATGATCATGTGCCAATTTCTGACGGCGTGTGCTGCAGACTGTAAACGAAACGATTCAAAGATATAAAAACCATACAAAATATTTTGATAGGAAGAAAAAGTTGTTGAGGTTCTAAATGAAACTGTAACTTCACAACAGCACAAATGTAAAGGACCAGGCAGCACCTTTCTTAAGGAAAAATTACTTTATATCAAATTTTCTGAAATGTTCATATTCTGACAAAAAATGTTATTAAAATAATCTGTATTTAATCCTTTTGGACATTTATAAAATGTATAGGACATTGTAGATACAAAAAATGTAGACAAAAATAAAAAGATAGTGTGTTAAAAATACGAACAATAGACATTTCAACCTTGCGCGTTTTAAATAAGATCGCGTACAAGAAAGTTCTTGCAAATGCCGTGGATTTGTAAGCCCTTAAACCAAAATGTACCCCGGTGTTAACAATACCCTGAGTTAACCTTCGACAACTTTTAGTTGTCAAAAATCTGAGTAGCAGATTGCATTCGATGCAACGCACTGAATACGCGATTATTTGTTCAGTTGTGTGAAGAAAATGACGAAAACTTTCAGCAATTGCTTCTTGCCACTGAAATACGCTGTATTTCGCAAGGTTTTATGTTTGACAAGATTTAACAGTTTTGGATGTTAAAGATCTAATTTTAAAACAAAATTTAATCAGTTGCAAACCAGACAATGCCTATTAACAAATTTATTCAGTATATTAAATAAGATGACAGTCTAAATTTAATCAAAGAACGCCTATAATTTCAGTATTTATTGCGATAATTAAACTAATGAAGCAAAACATTGGGCGAATTTTCCCAGTTTCACAATTTGTCATATTAACCTGAAATTCTGACTTAACTTTGATAATAAAAAAATACTAAAATCAGTTCAGATTGAATAAGCCGTTCTGGAAATAGATTTTTTTGTAAAACCTTCAAAATCGATGGCGCTTAAATTGGAAAAACAAAACACTTAAATAGAACAACTTATAACTCGACAACAACTGATTATGAAAAACTCGTAAAATTCCAATTAGATTATCTCAAAAGTATTACGTATTATTTTTGGTAATATTTACGATATTTTTTTTTTAATAAACAACGAACAATCCCCCTATTGCAAAAATAATACTCACCAATGCTACAGGATTGATACTAGTAACAGGATCATACAAATTCCCTTTACTACTCTCCGGATCGAACCACCAAGTCTTGATATTCTTAAAAGTAACCGTATCGTTATCGTTATTCCACACGACATCAGTCTTTTCTTTGGTCTCTCTGTATACATAAGGCCCTAACTGCTCGAACCTAGGTTTCGAGGTTTTATTATACACCTCTTCGGGATTGGTCCAGTTGAACATGTACAGAGTAAGACTAATAGGTACCGGGTTCTTGACCCACATGTTGTAAGCGTTGCTGTTCGGCTTCAACACCATTTGGTTGCTCAAAATGGCTTCGTAGATGTTCGTCGATAGGCATATGGCTAGGATTCCTGCTAGAATGAAGAAGAAACAAATACCGCTGACGCACAGGAATATCGCTAGGGACTTCTGCGGTTGCATCTTGTATGTGGTTTTTGCCTGAAACAAACAAAAAATGGATTAAAGATTTGAAAAATTAAAACTTGTATGAAATTTTGAAAGCTGCCAAAAAGACATCTGTCAACTGGTTTGCAGCTTTGTACAAATGACAAATGCGTTTTTTGGAGAAGGAATTGCTAACCAATGAAATAATGCTATAAATGTACAGGATGATTCGTAGATTTTAGACATTTTATAACAATATCGTGTAAAGTCTCGGTAATAATACATCAAGTCCTTTCGCTTTCTTTATTGTTTAAATGTAAAATGGATGAAATAAAAAGTTACTAGACGAGACGTCGTAGATTAATTAAATTATGTTATTATGTTAGGTGTCAGGTGGCAATTATCAAAATAATTTCGAATTTGTCAATTTGTTAATAAGTATTTAATAAAATGGTGACACGATTTAATGGTCAATTAAAAACTTTAATGCTAAACGTAGTTTCCTATTTTAAAAAATACAAATATATTTGCGAAGCTCTTGGAAAGAGGTATAATTAAACGGCTGCAGAGGCATTAAATATTTCGCAGAAAACTATAGACTTAGTAAACCAACAAATTCTGATACAAAGTATCTGAAAATAATGTCTAAAAAAAGTAAGCCAAAGTAAAACAAAAGTCAATTCTTTAATATTAAGTAAGTTGAGGCAAGTTATATATAAGATGTACGAAGGTGCGTAACATGTAACAATGAAATCGTTACATACGATTTTATTACTGTATCTAACAAATAAATGGCATACCTTCCTACAAAAATATATAAAAAAAAAATGATCTATTTAGTTATCTTATCGATCTGAAAAAAGAATTATTTTCATATTATGACCCAAATCTAACCAATTTTTGCTTAGTTTTAAACGTAAACAACATTTTACGATTTTATTTGCCAGGATTATTTGATAACATCGCAGTACCTGTATTACCTAAATACATAATATATTTCGATAGATATATTAACATTTTGTTTTGATTAAAAACAATATATTACTTTGTCATTTATATCGACAGAAAAGTTAGACGCAATAACAAAAGGATACACATATTTTGGGAACATACCAAAAATACTTATTGATTAAATAAAACGAATACTATAACTGTTTAAACATTCTTATGGAAATTGATAACCAATACAAATACAATCTGATTTTTTTAACAGATACTATGGCGATTTTGAAAATAAGAGGTGAACCCAAGAAACAATACAGAATAAATTATGAGAAACATTGTATGAGTATTTTCAAATAGAGATATGACATGACTCTTAATTTTACGAAATAGAGAAAAAATAGACATGTTAGAAACCTAATTCGTAAACCATAGAAACTCTACAGCAATAAATTTCCTGACCGGGATTTGGTATTAGACTTATGTAAGTTTTGCAAAACCCTGAAATCGTAAGTATTCTGAGAGAATTGAAGCTGTGTTACAATATTGAACACATTTTAGGAACTGAAAATGAATCGAAGAGAACAAATTTCGTATAAAAAATAGTAGAAACGTTGTAGAAAAAGCAAACACAAATATTTGAATACGCAAAATAGAAAAAACGTGAAATAATCAAACTTTCAAAAATAAAAAATGCTACAGCTTCAATAATGTTAAAAAAAAACGGCTTTTCGATTTAAGTTATAGAAATTTCATCTTTTCAGAACCATAATCAATTATTTCTTTTTGTGTACAATACAGAGATAACAGTGACCCCGAAGTATCAGGAAATGTAATATCCATCTTTTACCTATATCAAATAATTTTTTATGAACCTCCTAAAATAAATATTTATAATTAAGAATTATTAAAAAGTTGTATATTTATAGAAAACGCCCACCGGTCTTATTTTTAGAAGACCGTAGTAGATAGGTAATTTTTTAAATAGAATTTGCACGTTATTCGGAATAATTTTAATTGTGACAATGAGTAAAGCGTACGTGATAAGCACATGGTAGTTGCCGGGTCCCGCGTCCAAAGTCCGACTCCAAATGAATTTAAAGCGAACTGTAGTAGTGACAACTAATGTACTGGAAATGTTACAATTTATAATTAAAATTGTAAGTGCTCGGCTTATTCATATTACGTTAATTCAACGAATTAACATAATAGATAGACAGGCCGACTGGGTACAAAGGTGAAAATGAAAAACCCACACGCCTATACAATAATTATATTTTACATAAATGGAAATTCTTATTTTTTTTTTCACTTACAATATTATTTGTAAATGCAATATTATTTTTTTAGCCACTAAGATGTAAAGTAATTTTTAAGTTTTTAGCATTAATACAAAAATATCTGAATAACTGTCTTTATATTTAGTATTAAAAAAGACAATATACAAGGTTGGACACAATTCGCGGAACACTGGATTTTTCTTTAAGGCCATTTAAACCCATTCGCTGGAAGAATTGGAAGATAAAATAAGAATTGCTATTTAAGAAATAACACCTGAATTTTATCAAAATGCCTTAAGATCATTTGTTGATAGACTAGGATATTGTCAGGCAGTTGGAGGCTTTCACTTCAAACACTTATTTTGAAAGATTTGTCTAAATAATAATTATTTTTTAATAAATAAATGTTTACTTTCCATTTTATTATGAACTCAGATACCCTCAAACCCTACATTGATAAATTCAGAAAAAAGATCTATCTAAAAAAATATAAATATAGGGCGATTCCTTTAAAAGTTCATCCGATGGCGTCATATCATAAAACAGATGACGAAAATCCCCAAGCGTCATTAAATAGTGCATAAAATATACGAAAAATTTATTCGAGTAAATTTTCAGTACAATCTAATTTTGCCCAACCCTGTATAACTGGAAAAATATAATTAGGTATAGCAAAGTAAAAGTATCAAGGATCGAGATAGTTAAATGGGCATTTTGGCTAGAAAGAATTTTGTCGGTAAATATTTCAAAAATAATTCGATATATTTTTTTATATATGTACCCTCTTTTCCGAATACAGTAAAACAATAATCATAATTATACAACACAAGGAAAAATAACAAAAAAAAGAATGGTTCGTTGTGAATTTTAATTATTTTTATTTCAAAATTAAGATTTTCAGACTGAATATTTTTAATTTTGTGATTAATGAATGTTCAAAACTTTTTGCTCGCGAATTTTTAATTACCCGAGAAGTATTTTTAAAAAGTTCGAAAGTTAAAATGATGGATAACCTTTATCCTATAATTTGTAATTACCTTACTAATCAAAATATTCTCCATCTTAAATGTTCATTTTTCAGAATACCTAAAGACTCGAATTTAAACTTTTTATCTCTCTAAACAAACAATTTTTTATTTATCCGTTTTATTTATCTTCCTTATCTCTAATTTCGAACAATAGATTTTTTTTAAAGACGACAACGATGATCTCATTAAAACTGTAAATTATATCCTGTTTTTCTATTCCTATGACCGATTACGATGAAAAGGATGTACAAAAAATCTACTTATCCTTTCATCGTGAATTTTTTACATCTTTTAATATCGCTCAATGTTGTAACGCTGGTAAATGCACAATCGCAAGGTTTTTCAGTGGTTTACGTTCAAGAAGTCACGTAGAAATCAAAAGTAGAAATACCTAGTTTGAATTTACTGAATGAAATAATTAATACATTGATTAGAATACTAATTTTCTTCTAATTTTTTTTTTAAAGCTTGAGATATACTCGTATAGGATATAGGGCAATGATTTAAAGTGAGAGATTGTAGACCTAAAGTTTGAGAGTCAAATGCTATTTGATGATTAAAGGACATTCAATTTTTTTTATCTCAATTTAAGTTATAGACTGTACCGTTCAAATCTCTCAAAAATGGTAGCGTGTAGAGTCTTCTAGTTCGAAAAAAAAATGGAACACATTGTTTAACATTGGAATTGTTTTTTGTCGGTACGATATATAGGTATGGGACCAAATTACGACTTTTTCTAGAAGGAAAGAAGATGTAACTCAAAACCGGAAATCCTGTGCGTGTATGTCGGCTTATGGATTAAGATGCGTCGTAGAGAACTAATTTTAATGAAACTTTTGAGGTGATCTTTTCGGTAGTACCCACTTCTTGCTTACTTATTTTAATTCAATGGTTGGTATGATTTCCGAGTGATATAATACATGTATTATGGGGACTCTGTTTGGAAATTTATTGTAGGTATTTAAGCAATTGTGTTTGACTAAAAAAATTAATGAAGTAGGTAGGCATTATACAGGGTGTCTGGGAAAATGTGGGAGGTATCTCGGATTCAGATAGAACATTAAAAAATAAGATGACAGGTTCCCATCATTTTTTCCTAGCGGTCCTCCCTACGAAGATACAGTCTCCAAATGGACGCCACTGGAAATAATTTTTTCTTGAATAACTTTCAAACTACGTAGTATAATTTAATATGATAAACAGTAGTAAGAACCTCTTAAAATATTGCTCTTAAAACATAATTAGTTTAGTTTACCAGGGGCGAACTAGGTTGTACATTTGAATTCGATACCTTGAACATTAAGCTAAAGAAAAGGTACTCTTCTTCATTGTCGATAAAATAAACCGTTTTCGAGAAAAAATAAAAATAAAATAATTAATGTTTTATTTTTATTAAAAAGAAACAATGATTTCCAATTTTTTTTGTCTGCAGTAAAGAATGATACAAAAGTCATTGAAATAGAACTGTTAAATAAATAATTGCATTGACGTGTGCATTTTAAATCTTGTTGACACGTTGATCCTTTAGTACTCTGATATTAATTTATTGAATTTTGAATATCTTGGTAAATTTATTTCGATAATGGGATATACATTTAGTGAGTATGCAGATATGTATCTTATGTACGGTCTTGCATCTTGCAATGCTTATGAAGCAAGAAGATTGTATGAAGAAAGCTATCCTAATCGCAATATTCCAAATGAGAAAACATTTCAGCGACTTGACCGACATCTAAGAGAGACTGGTGGGCGATTTCCAGTTAATAAGGTAACATTATTATCTTTCTTTAACAATTTTTACGAAGTTTTGGGAAAACAAGTAATGCTGGTGTGACAAGAACAGTACGTACGGTACAATTGGAGGAAAATATTTTGGATACTGTAGCTGATACTCCTTCAATAGGCACGCAGCTTCATGTGTCAAAAACGAAAACTGCTGAAGTATTTAAAGAACAGTTGTTTTACCCTTATCATTTGCCAAAAGTGCATCAACTACTTCCTGAAGATTTTCCTCGAAGAAACCAGTTCGCAAACTGGCTGTTAGATCAGCAACGAACAAACGGAAACTTCATTAGCACTATTCTTTTTACCGATGAAGCAGGATTTACCAAAAATGGTATTGTAAATTTACATAACTCGCATGTATGGGCTGATGAAAACCCTCATGCCACTGTTGTTCATTATTATGAACATCAGTTCCAATCAATTAATGTTTGGGCAGGAATAATTGGCAATTTTTTGATTGGACCATATACGTACGTATTGCCGCCACGATTCAATGGTGAACTTTATTTACAGTTTCTTCAGAACGCTTTTCTGGATTCAATAGAGCATTTGCCACTTGAAACCCGCCGAAGCATGTATTTTATGCATCATGGAGCCCCACCTCATTTTAGCGTCACTATACGGGACCACCTGAATAACGTCTATCGAAACCGTTGGATAGACAGAGGAGGTCCAACTGCCTGGCCTCCACGATCTCTCGATCTAACACCAATGGATTTTTACTTGTGGGGTCATCTCAAAACCTTGGTGTATTCCTCTCCGGTTAATACTAGGGAGGAACTTTTACAAAGAATCACATATCATTGTGATGTGATAAGGAACAATGTTGAGTTGTTGTGGCGAGTACAGCAGTCCTCTATTCGTCGGGTCCGCGAGTGTATCAGAGTTCACGGAGCACATGTTGAACCCACTTATAAAGTTTTTAATTGATTACTTCTAAATAACGTATTTAGGTTCAATCGTTACAAGCTTTAGTGAGTTCAGGATGAAAACATAATACTCCAAGTTGTATTTTAGGGCAGTATTTTAAGAGGTTCTTACTACTGTTTATCATATTAAATTTATGGGAACTAGTCATCTTATTTTTTAATGTTCTATGTGAATCCGAGAGACCTCCCACATTTTCCCGGACACTCAGTATATTTGAATGTTGTATTTTAAAAACAAAAATGGAACAAAATCGATTTTTTCTCAGAAATTCGTCAATATAGCTTAGGAACTAGTAAAAAGATTGACTTGAACTGCCTCAATTCATCAATTAATAAAAAGTAATATTATGAACAAACGCGTTTATTTGTTTCCAGCGCGTTAAAAAAGAAACTACTTCCTATTAAGAACATATATTTTTGAAAGCATAAACTAGTTTATACACAGGAATTAAAGTGAACCAATGTAATTTTATTTGGGAGTGCCAAAAGAAAGTAAGTACATCTTTCTTTAATAGAATTTTAGTTTTTTATTGTTAGTTAATATAAACTTTCTTGGTACGGTAATCTATTATATCAGTATCCTAGTTTGTGTATTTAATTTATCTTAAGTAATGACACCCTTATCAGCCGCCTCAATAATGACAGTCACTACACAATAACATATGCAGATGACCTGGTCATTCTGTAAACAGGGAATTTTGAGAACATACTCTGCGAACGAATGCAAGTAGCTCTAAAAATTATCGAACAGTGGTGCAAGGATCATTCACTGTCTATCAATCCTAAGAAGACAGAAATGGTCCTTCTCACAAGGAAAAGGATGAAAATGGAATTAAAACCTCCAGAACTCTTAAATACAAAACTAAACTTTGCAACAGAGGTAAAGTACCTAGGTCTCACCTTTGACAGCAAGTTAACATGGAACTCGCATTTACAAAATAGAGTTAAAAGAGCATACATTGCTTATAAACAATGCCGCCGAACCGTAGGGCGCACCTGGGGTTTCTCCCACAGGTTTTCTGGATACCTAAAACCCAAAAATTAATAGCTATCCGTAAACTAGAACAAATTCAAGGAACAGCATGTCTCAACCTAACAGGAGCCATGAAAACAACACCAACCAGGGCCATGGAAGTCATTTTTAGTCTCACTCCCCTTGATATTTACATCAAGGATGTTGCTCCGACGACGATGACACGCCTCCGCACGGTTGGAATAGAACCTGATGTAGGATCTGGTGAGGCGAGACGTTGCTTTTGACAGGAGGCGCTAGATACGCTTCCACTGCTTCAAGCTAATATAGACTCCATCTTGCCGAAATATATCTTCCATAAGCCATATAAAGTTATAATAGAACAAATAGAAGAGCCGAAAGTGGCAGGTACGATTCATATTTACACCGACGGTTCTAAAACAAAACAAGGCTCAGGATGTGGAATATACTCCAGATTGTTAAACCTAAACATAAAATGGGCTGTAAGCTAATAGGGATTCTCATAGCAGCAAAAGAAATAACCAGAAACAATATCACTGGAAGGAACATACTCATCTATGCAGATAGTCTCAAGCATTTCTCACCCTGAACAGACCACGAATTTACTCAGGGTTAGTACTAGAATGTCACGAAGCTTTGGCCGAAGTATCCATCAACAATGTGGTCACCTTAAGATGGATCGAAGGTCACGTCACATTGAAAGGTAACCGTCTTGTTTATTCACTAGCCAAGAAAGCAGCCAACCAAATACTTTTTGGACCTGGCCCTTCTATTGGCCTGACAAAATCGGTTGTGACAGACCTAATCAAAGAATATTCCCTTGTGAAATTCAAGGAAAGATGGGATGAAACAAGAAACTGCAGAGTTACCAGGGAGCTCTTAAGTTATCCTGACAACACTGCAGCAAACAAATACTTGACTATGACTAGACAGAATCCGCGCCTAATCACAGGCATTCTGACTGGTCATTGCCAAGTACGAAAGCAACTCCATATCAGAATCCGCACTCTGCAGAGGGTGCGAACAAGATGAGGCCATCGAGCATATCCTTTACGATTGCCCAACGCTCTCATTTATTAGATGATTTGTGTTCGGCGAGTATCGGCTAACACCAGCCGATATAAGAGAAGCACCTCTTGGCGACGTTGTCAACTACATTAAATATGTAGGCTGGCTCACGAGCTAGGAGGTGTCTATCATCTCAGGAGGATGCATAATGGGCCTAATGAGGCCTAAGTGCCGTGGGGGTAACCCATCATCCACACGTTACAGATACAGACAGAAGTAACGACGAGAGGGGGGGAAGGGGGGGTGCCGGCAGCTTTAATAAAATAGGTTATAATAAGGGTCGCCAGCTCCCCAGAAAAAGGAGGACCACAAGCTGAGAACTTTTTTTTTAGAAATGTAACCAAGAAAGGACCTGATTTTATAAAAAATGTTTGGTTCTGCTGATTCCCTGTCGTCACTGTTGTCCCGCTATTCCCTAAATCTGCCAACCCTAGTTATTATATACAAGGGGCCTCACCATGGCTCTCGGCGGGCCTGACGATTACTAACTAACACCTTGAGTTTGGGCTCAAGATTAGTTTTAACCATTAATTATATTTTTAAATTTTACTTTCTGTTTCCTGTTTTTTAAATAACTTTTAAACAACTTCTGTGCTGTACCTCGTACACCCATATCTTCCAGTGTATCTCGAACAGTGATTTGCAAAGTGCGCTCCGCGGAGCCCTGTGGCTCCGCAAAGCCTTTGTGGAGGCTCCGCGAAGAATTTAATAGTTATAATAAAAAAAAGCAGTACATTTCCAAAAAAGGGAGGGATCTGGCTTGAGGACTTTTTTTAGAAGTCACTAAGAGGAAGGAGGATATGATTTTGATTGGAGGACTTTTTTTTAGAAATGTGTTTAGGGCTCCGTCAAATATTTCGTTTTTCAAAAAGAATCCGTCACCAAAACAATTTGAGAAACACTGATCTAGAAGTATGGAGTGATCCACAGTGTCAAAGGCTTTTTTAAATCAAAAAAAAACTGCTATAGGAGTGCTCGAGTCTAACGAATCTTAGATGGTTTTTGTTAAAGAATATATTGCATCTTGTGTAGATTTGTTATCGCTAAACCCATACTGCGATGTTCACAGCAGATTATATTTGGATAGAAAGGCGTTAGTCTCCACCTTTAAATATTGGGATTATTATTGAGTTTTTTTGAATTGAGGGAAAGATGCTTGTTTCAAGTGATTTATTAATGATGCCTGTCAGGTTTACTTATAGAATGTGAAATAATCTTTAACGTTTCAGCTTTAATTCCATCCTCCCTAGGAGACTTATTATTTTTAAATTATGTATGGTATTTAGTACCTCAGTTATATAACCCTATGGTTAAGAAAAATTGAGTATTATTAGTAGATTTTTTTATTTTTATAGTTTGGATTTTTATTTATATTTTGTCCTACATTGGTAAAGAAGTTATTAAATATATTTGTAATTTCACTAGAATTTGTAACAATTTAAAATGTACATCCATAAGTTTTTGCAAAGCTATATTTTTTGATTCTATCTTGTAGAACATAAAACGTTTCAAGAATATTTTTTTATTGTCTCGTGGATTGAAGATAAGAGTACCTATATGTCTGTTCGCTATACTTACGCGGGTTTCGGATTAACAAAATTATGCAAATTAGTCATTGACAACCAGTTCCAATAAGCCTCTTCCCAAGAAATTATGTAAAATTGCCCTAATGGTCAGATTTAAATTAAAATAACATTAGGATAGGTACTAAATTTGTTACAAATAATTAATTAATCCGAAACCCGCGTAAGTATAGCGAACAGACCGTAATTACTTTTTTTATCTAGTGGCATAAAAGCAAAGATTTTTTTAATTCTGTATTTGAATAAAAAATATGATCGGTAGAAAAAATTTACAATAAAAAAAACTTACTTTAGCAGCATATTTCTTCACCGAAAACACAATCAGATTCATCTTGAATAATCAGTATAAAATTGCACTAAAAAAAAGTTCCTCGACACTTTCTTAACAAAGAAAATTTTCAAATACTGTAAGCGCGCGCGCTTTGAATAATTGTTCCTATGCACTTTCAAAAATAATAATAATTTTATCAAACAGTCAGTAAGTCTAGTTAGTATGATAACTAGCGTGAAAATGAAAATTATGTGTGCTCTGAGAGTCGGTTATCTCGATGATTACTTGGATATTGAACTCTGGACTCCCAGCGTTGGGAGTGTATTCCCAAAAATCTTTCTACCTACAACTCGAACAGAGTCCAAAGGTAAAGTTGTGACAAGCGTGATCACCACGTGAACCGGTAAAACTCGCGGCACTCGGGTACAAAGTACTCTCTCGGTTTCGTTTATTTCTATGTTTAATGGAGGGACTTTGGATTTTCAATAATGCTTAATTGGTGGAGTGTGCCAGTCGGATGGACCTGAAGGCACTATCGGAATTGGGGATATGGCTTTTTTATTGTTTTTATTTAAGTTAAACTTAGCGTTACTCATCGTGGAGTGTTTCTAGTATTAGCGGTGCTCTCTAAAACTAAATTAATCCATCAAAGTCGAACTAAAAAGGACTACGTATTTTTATTTGGTTATTTGATTGAAATTAACGGAATTATTAATTTTTTATATACAGGATGTTTTGTAGTGATGTTTCAATATTTTAACATGATGCTCTACCAATAATTTAAGGAGGTATTTTCTTAGAAAATTTGGAATTTGAATCTTTTCCCTGCGGTGGGGGAGAATTAGGGGGGAATTTGGGCTGTTTAAAATCGTTTCAGACGGGGCATGTGGCCCCGCTATTAGTTATTTTCTATCCCTTACCATTTAGACGTGGCAGAAGAAGATGGGGGGAAGTTGGAAAAGTTCATGTTGGTTCGAAATTAAAGGGTGCTCTTGTTCGCTATAGGGTAATAATATTAGTCAATCACAATTCATAATTGTGGATCAATGGAATTCATATATCGAAGGTTGGGAAAAACTAACTATTTCTAAATGTCTTTTTTGGTTAAGCCGAATGTGAGCAAAATTGATGGATACACAGAAACAAACTTATAAAAATTAAAAGAAGACTAAGTGAAAACCGCTTTTGTTATTTTAACTAGTTCAAAAGGGTTTAGAAATGTTCAAAATATAATAGAACACCTGGTATAAAGACAATTAAGTTTGAAGCGTATTTATAATGGTAAGTTTGATAAAAGTTGAAATTTAATACTGTATATAGTCAAGTGTGATTTCGAAAATGTTCAGATAATTTTCTAATAAAAGTTCTTACATAATATTTAAATTAAAACTTTAAATAAGTTTTTGATTGTATATTAACAATAATTTAACTTAATAAATTTCCATAAAGTAAGTTAATTTTTTCCAAGTTTAGAATAAAGCAGGATTCAAACTTGCCGAAAACTATCAATAAATATTTATATTTGAAAGCTTATAATAAATTTGCAGCGATTAACGTATTTTGATTATTGGGTTAATGTAAAAGTTTGCGCAAAATTCGCTCAGTTATATGTGTAATCTACCATACAAGGCTTTGAGTATTTTTAGCCCCTTCTGATAACCTAAAAAGTATAACGCCGATTTGTTAGAAAATGCCTTCTACAGCATTAAATAATTTCAGTTAAAATCTGATATTTACAGATTGTTTGTAATGTCCACTAATATTTAATATTTTTATTATTTTTAAAGTATACTTTTATTTATTTTGTACTTGACAAGCCTAATGAAATTTTTGTACCTCTATAAATTAATTTGATTTGGCGAATAAATTTTATTATTATTATAACGTAATTTTAAACATATAATAGGCAGATAGAAAGTGCATTTTAAGGATTTATCTCAAAATTAGTAATGAATTAACATTTATCTTTTGAAATCTTTATATGGTAAATTTTTAGAGAGAACCTCTCGGACTAATCGCGCCGCTTAACCACGTTCTCGCGTTTAAAAATAGTGGGTACAAAGTCCAAAGTTTGCATCGAGTCCACACTGAGGTATACCTGTGGAATTTCAATGTTTTGGTTCTGTATTACACCTACCAATCTCTTTTGATTTGTAAAATACTTGACGAATAATTCTACGAGTTCCTAACTGATTGTAGATAGTGAAAGTGATCACTATTTGCAAGTAGAAGGGAAATCCGATAATAATACACTATTTTTTTTTATTTATTGCCAATAGAATTTGTAATTTGTTAAGTAATACAAATTTTTACGTCTTTTTGAGATACTGAGAAAGTTTATAAGCCAAAATTACGAATGATCTATCAATTTTTGATATAATCACTAATTGGGAATATTTTTATTTTTAATATAATTCTTTTAACAAAGTAATATTCATTAAAATATAATTCATGATCCATTTTATTTAAAATCCAGTTCAAGTCAGTTGATTTCAAAATCCAGTCTATTCGGTATTATTTAAAATTCAGTTCAATTCAGTAATATTCAAATGAAGTATTAAGTAGGTACTTCTTGTACCCAACGCTTTTCTTAACCGACGACGCCTTTCCTACAGATACTCTACGTCCTGACGCTTTTACGTCCTGACGCTCTACGTTTAATATTTCCAAAATAGCAACATTTTCAAGTAACAAACAACTACATAAAAATGTCAGAAATAGATGGTGAGTCAATAACTTGAAATTTATTATTATAGACACTTATTATTCAATATCGTCACATTTAAACCGCCAGATGGACATGCTCTCCAGGATGCATTTGCCGCTATATTATTCTTCATTAAACAATGGTTAAATTGTACCATCCTAAAATTATTTAAGAATCTGGTTTACTGAAATGTCAATAGACCCTCACTAATTAGACATTTCAAACAAAATGGTTGCCCGTTGGTAATGGCAGTTTAAGATATGGCAAACCTAAGAGCCTAGTGATTTCACAGAATCAATGATATATTTATAATATACAGTGTGGAAACCACTTATAAAATAAAATTGTTGGCCTTATTTTAAAAAATTATAAAATTATAAAAAAACGCTGGGACACGTCAATTTTTAAACTAAATTGTACGTTCGTCGAACGAAAATATAAATATGCAGGGCGATTCATGTAAGTCTAGCACTGTCGGTATTTTTTCTTTTCAATGGAATACCCTGTATCTAACAAATTTTAAATTGTAGCCGTCTGTAAACCTACGTATTCCTCCCAAACGAATTTTTTATATCTTTGGTCGTTTTCCCATAAAGCTCCGTCCCGTTGAGCGTGAGCCACCCTGTATAGGGTGAACTTTCTAAATATTAAAAATATTATTACGCTTTAAATATTGTTAATTAATTAAACACATGTTTATCTAGAGTATCAACATAATTCGGCGAATCTCAGAAATAAATAAAACCTGATACGTTATGAATCACGGTTTTAGAAACATTTTTTGTCCAGAAGAAGTAAAAACTACCTATATAATGATAAAAATTAAACAAAATCGGTAAAGTTCTCTGTTAAAATTGTTTATGTGTTGATATTTTACATTAAACTATTAAATTCCCAATTGAAAACGTATTTCGCTTGATTAATAATGAAATATTTAAATGAAACTCAACGAATTGAAATATTAATGACGGGGATAATTGCAGAAATCAAACGGAAGTGGAAAACCTATTTAATCATAAATATCATTATTTGCATAATTTTCACAAGGTAATGTGTTTAAAATCCATGCACAATTTATACAACTTGGACTCAAACCATACAAAAAAAAAACCGCACTTTGTAGAAGAATATGTAAAAGTGGATATTTTGTTCAAGTATTCGTCGAATTGCTCGCCAAAGTAACGTCAGTTATACAACTGTTTTAAAGTGTCTTCATAAAGAAAAACTTCATGCATATAAAATAATTTTTACTCAGGAGTTAACAGAAGATGATCCTGTTCGTAGAATAGAGTTTTGCGAAATGTTGATGAATAAGCCGAACAGAAATGAAATAGATCTTGATACCGTTCTTTTTTCAGATGAGTCAATTATATATGTTTATTGTCCAAGTTAAAATACTTATTGACAAACACAATATTGTTACACAAAGCACAAATAAATAGTCATTAAAATACAAACATTATTATAAATTAACATTAATGCATACATCTAAAATAAAATAGAAAAAAAAAACAAAATAAAACACATATCACAGTATCTGAACATTATAAAATTCTGTATTATCATAACAAGGTCTAGTTAACAGAAATCTCCTGAGCAGCCTTTTAAAACAATTCTGTGACTCAACATCTGTCAAAGTATGTGATAGCCTGTTGTACATCTTGATACCATTATAAATATATAAAAGAGTCTCTTATAAATTCAGTTTTGGGAATAGGCACCTTCAAGTTGCCGGTTTGGCGAGTTACAAGGGATATATTCGATTTATATTTCGACTTGTTCTTATGGATCATGCAACAAGTTTCTAAGTAAAATAAAGAAGTTAATGTTAATATTTCTTGTTTTAAGAACAGCGATCTACATGAAACTAATCCGTGTGCACCACCTAAGACCCTTATTGCCCGTTTCTGCATTATAAAGACTCTACCAAATAACTCGGCAGTACAGACTTCCCAAAACTGAACAGCACAACGTAAATGGGGGTCATTTAAGGCATAATATAACTTCTAATTCATGACATAACAACCCGATGCAAGTTTTTTTAAAAGTGGATCCACATGAGATTTGAATTTCAAATCCGTGTCGATATTTAAACCTAAAAATTTTGTAGTCTATCGCTTCTACAGTATCCACATCTATTAAAATAACAGGAATATTACATTTAAAGGTTAGTATTTTTGTTTTTTTTTTTAAATGTAATGACAGAAAATTTGCAGTGCACCATGTTTTAAAGGATTTGAGGTCATTACTAATATTTGCATAAAGAATATTGACTTCTTTATTATGCCACAAGATAGTAGAATCGTCCGCAAATAGAGTGAAACTTCCTGAGATATTTAACTTACCTAAATCATTTATATAAATTAAAAACAGGGTGGGGCCCAAGAACAGAACCTTGAGGGACACCCCATTTTATGTCACTTGTTTTCGAGTCGGAAACAGTTCGGACTAACTGTTTACGACCTAAAAAGTAGGATTTCATCCAACTAAAGACCACATCTCTTATACCATAAACTTTAA